GGCTGCCGCCTCGGGGACTCCGGGACCTGGGGCGGCGGGGGGGCTCCCCGGAGCCGGGCTTCTGTCGGAGGTGGCGCGGCCCGCGGCGCCCGTGGCACCCACGTTGTTGGCGTTGGCGGCGCTGGCCGGGCCGTGGCGACGCGGACCGCTGCTCTGAATGTGGGACACGGCCTCGGCGGCCTGCATGTTGGGCGGCGCAAAGCCCGAGAGCACGCGCAGCAGCGCCTGGGCCTTGTGCTCCTGCGTGTCGTCGGCGCTGTAGTCGGACACGCGGCATTCGTACACGCCCTCATCCTGCCGCCGCACGGCCGACAGCCGCAGTCGGTGCGAGATGTCATTGCCCTGGACGCGCACGGTCTGCAAGAGAGCGGGGGCCGGGGTCAGAGGCCCGGGGGCGCGGGCCTGCGCTCTCTGCCCGCGCGGTGCAGCCGCGCCCACCTCTGCCTTTGCGCCCTCATGCCGCAGCACCCCAACACCTCTCGGACGCAGGTTGGCCCCTGGCGACTCAGTTTTTCTTTCATTCCGTGTCTCCCCAGCGGCATGGGGCTCCCAACCCTGATTGGACCCTGGATGGCCCTACCCACTGCGTCCTCATCATCTCAAGTGAATGCATCATGTTGCATCCCCTGGCCAAGCTATGCTTCTGTCCATCAGACCTGCAGAACCTAACCCTCCTTCCTTCCTTCTGCACCTTGCAGAAATCCAGGCTCGGCCTCCTGTCGCTAACCACCGGCGTCTTTGCCGCCGGGCCTTAAGCCCAGCCCTCCACATCTACTCCCACCAACGTTCCTTTACTCTGGAATCCGGAGGGCCTGGGTAGTGCCTGAAGGACAGCCACTCTGCTCGCAAGAGTACACATAAATACCTGCCCCCCAGCCCTTCGCAGCTAACCCTCCGCCCTCCCGCGGGGGCAGGCCATGCTGACGCTGCTGCTGGGCTCCCTGGGCTCAGCTCCTTCTGAGTCCGCCTCAGCCTGAAGCTCCCTACAAGCGCGCCCCCCCGGCGGCCTGGAGGACACGCTGGCACGCCACCGCTTTGGGGCCCTCACCTCGGAACCGCGCGCACGATGAGGCCCCAGTGGTCTCCAGGCCCTGATATTTCCACGCTCCAGCTAGGAGAACTTGGGCGCATCTCCTCCTTGAGTTACAGATCCCAAGACCCCGGTCCCTCGCAGCCCCGCCAACCCCCACCCCACACCTTCCCCCACGACGAGCCCACAGAACCCGGCACCGGGACCCGAAATCCAGGCGGAGGAGAGGGCTGCGGTGGAGGGCGCCACCTGGGCGCTCCGGTGTGTGTGTGTCGCGCCGGGTGGGTGGGCGGGGAGGCCCACCAGTTGGCGAACGGGTCACGGCCAGCGTGAGGAGCAGCGCGCTCCAGTTGCTGGGAGACAAGCCCGCAGAGGAGACGCAAGCCGATGCGCAGGGGCCTGAACGGGCCGGCCCGACGAAGGAGTTTTACAGGTGAGCGCCGCACGGAAGGAGATTCAGGCCTGGGACCCTTGATTTACACAAAAGCGAACCCGATTCCGCTAGCGGCGACAGATGGCGCCCCCACATGCTAAGCAGCCGGCAACGCAAGGCTGCGAGCACGGCCCTACATCGCGCGGCCGCTGAACCTTTCTAAAAAGGAGGAAAATGTGGGGCGCGAAGCGGCCAGAAGGGGTCTCCCGCGGCCCGCGCTGGGCTCCACACTTACGCTGATTTTAGTTGCATCCTTATTTGTTACCTAAAATGCAAAGAGGGAGAGAGACACATTAGGCTCTCGGCCTTCAGGCTCCGGGAACTCCGATGCGCCTCCGGCAAGGGGAATCTGCGGGCGGGCTAGGACTCGAAACCTCTCGGGATGTGGCCCAGCTGAAGTCGCAAAGGACATTAGGATTTCCTGGAGTTTTACCCGGAAGGAAGCAGGGCTTGGAGCTAGCATGGTGCCTGGCCAAGGAGGGGCTGCCCTAGCACACTGCCGGCCACGAGGAAAGGCTGGATTGCCACCAGGGTGGGAAGAAAGGCTGGTCTCCCTCCTCCGGAGCATCCTCATTCCCTGCCGTGTTTCTCTAAACCCCGTGGAAAGCTGGATGGAGGGGCCGGTGTATCTGGACAGGACGCACAGGGAGACGTGAGCAATAACTCTGGGTGGGACCCTGGGTAGAGGGTAGGTGTGTATGTGTGTGTGTTACAGTGTATGGGAGAGACTGGTTTAGGAGGCAGACAGACAGTGGGGGCCTTCCCTCCGATCTTGTGGGGGTTGGAGGTGCACTGCGGGCCTCTGGAACCCAGCCCAGAGGAGCTTAACTCCTTGGCCCTGTGCCCTGGGGACCTCGGAGTAGCAGAAGGCAGGGAAAGCCTGGCCCTACTGAGTGGTCTCCCTTGACCACCCAGCACCCATCTGACTCTGGGGCCGGCAGCCAGCAAGCAAGAGCAGACGAACTGGATGAGGTGTTGCTTTGTAGGGGCCAGGCGGCAGTCCCGGAGGTTTTAAGGGAAAGAAGAAGGGGAGGGATTACCAGGATTTGTGCTGCTGTTGAAGATGCTGTGGGAATGGGGACTGTGGGAGATGGGCTGCTCCGCAGGGCGGTGCCCTGCCTTCCTTGCCCAGCTTACCCCAGCCGCCCCGGCCTGAGCCCGGTGAGCGCCGGCGCCGCGTGGGCGGCGGGTTACCTTGCTCCGGGCGCCGGGCACGCTGAGCGCCAGCTCGTGCAGCAGCTCCCGGGGCGGCTCCTTGAGGTACCACCACTGAATCTCCAGCGAATACGAGGTGGCTCCGCTAGCCCGGAATGCGCAGGGCATTTCGATGTCGTCTCCCTCCCGTACTGTCACATCTTTGGGGACTTCGGTAAATGTAGCTGGGGGCGGGGAAGAGAGAGGCGTGACCAACTGTGGGGCGGGGGCCTGGGGCAACCCTAGGCAAGACGGGGCGTCCCCGGCTCAATGGCCTTGTACTTGCCAGCCCAGAGCCACAAGCGTGGCTCAGGCGCTAGCAAAGTTCGATCGAACAGCTGCCCGGCCCCAGCAGAGACCGGCTTCCGCTGCAGGCTGCTTCCCTCCGGATCGGGCGGGGCAGCAGGGGCGGCTTAGGCTTCTATCCCGCGCCCAGCCGCACTGCCAGAGCCAGGCTGGGGCGCGCCAACTCCCGCGCCCCGAAAGCCGCCTCTCCGCCCGAGCACCTGTCCGGCTTCAAATGCCGCGGCGGCGACCCTTCGCTTCTCTCCTCCCCCTACCCCTCTGGGCCTGGGCTGCACACCGGGATTGCTGGAGACCGTGAAGCCTTCCCCTTCTCTTCCTCCTCCGGCTCCTTGGCGACAGGGACAGGCTGGCTCTGGCGGCCCCGGCAAGGACCCCCCGAGCCCCCCGCGGCAGCAAAGTTCCCGCGCTCACCGTCGGCCACGAAGAGCAGCAGGGCGTGCAGCAGCAGCGGCGGCAGGTATCCGAGGGCGCCGAGCCGGTTCCGCTGTTCCATCTCCCGCGGGGGGCGCGGCGGCGGCAGGGGCCCGGGCGCGGAGAGGCAGCGGTGGCGGCAGCGTGGGCTCGGATCCGGCTCGGGCTCCGGCTAGGACGCCTCCGAGCCTGC